TATATATTAAATATTTTATAATAGTTTAAATAAAATATATAACCTCAACACGCGTCCCGATTCTTATTCGAAATGCAGCTAGTTAGTTCTTAATTTGGCCAACTTCCGGACCTGATGGCTCTGAGATCTTGGATTCCAGTAATGGCTGCCGTTAGCAGTCCAGAGGTATATAGTCAAAGGGGAGCACAGACTCTTACATAACCCCGGATCTACAATAGAGTTTTAAGCCTTAAACCATAAGAAATGGACGAATCATAATCGATTATTCTCCCCGAATTTGTCTACCATTGGTCAATTTCTTACGGCTTAAGGCTTAAAACACCTATTGTAGATCCGGACTAACGCATAACACATGAGGCATAAGAAATTGAACCAACCAGAGTTCTCTATTACATGGAAGGGAAAGAAACGGAGAACTTTGATTGGTACATATTCTTATGCATTACGTGTTATGCGTTATGCAAGAGTCTGTGCTCCCCGCTTTAGATTCTACGACTGCTACAACTTGAGACTTCTATTGTAGACCAGTGATGCACATTTGGCTTCCCGGCAACACGGAATCCAACCCCACCACTTGTACCCCCACCAAGCAGACACTTACCGGCATCGAGTCGACAGTCTTCGTCGTGAGAGCGAGCGAGACAGCGAGAGATAGCGCCCATCCTTCTCACTCTACAAGCCACTTTAGAGCGAAAAGGACGGCCGCTCTCTCTCGCTGTCTCGCTTCCTCTAATATCGTAGTCGCCTAATATAAGCGATCGAAAACCGAAAATGTATTTTCTCGGCCGCTCGGCGTATTCCTGTACAGGGTATCCCGACCTTTTTTGCCAATCACTTTTGTGTAGATAGAGCGGACTAAACTGAGTCGAAAAGTCCTCTACCATTTTGCAATTTTCGCAATAGTTAACAAGATATTAATTACTAAAAATTGCAAAATATTGGTTTTGAATAATTTTTCAAATACTATCAACTTTACAGAAAAACTGCGAGAGACAATAAATAATTTTTGTCTTTCTTCTCATAAAGTTTTGAGAATTTTTTCAGAATTTTTTAACACGCAAAAATTCAAGTCGATCGGACGCTCAGTTCTCGAGATATCATGTCAACGCAGTTGAAAAATACTGTATGATGTCGATTCCATTATCATTTGACTGGGTTTGCGGACCATTTTAGTATACAATGAATAACTCAGTTATTGTACATTATTTCTGTGAACGGCATTGGTAATATATTTTCAAGACTATCAACTTTCCGAAAATGCAATTAAAAAAAATCAATTTTTTTGACCCGACAAAGTAGAATACTCCCTTAATTGTATCCTTGAAAAGCTGTTTCCGACAAATCGTCATATGAAGTTTTAGCTTGAATCTATGTCAGCAATCACTCCTTAAAATCTTTGAGCGTACTTAGGATACATCCTGTATAATACAATGTCGTGCTAACTTCGCAGAAACCGATATCAAAGGATTTGTGAAGTCAGCACATGTTATTCTACTGATGTAAGGAAAACAATCACAGTGCCAGAGAGAATAGCACTAGAGATATTATAAGGAACTATAATCACTTTCCATAATTTTATATAAAAATGAAAAGAAATTCTGCATTTTTTATATTAAATGCATGGATTTTTTTAAATTTAAAGAGTAACTATCTTGAATGTAATTAAACATCCTCTTGATAAACAACATAAATAAAATTTCCGAATGATGTTTCTTAAAAATATACAGAAGAGAATAACGCTTAAAATAAAATTCTTTTTCCATTTTTATTCTAAGCAATCTGTGATGACCACGTAGTGCATTTAATAATAAATAATATAATTAATAAATAAATTGATAAATAATTGATAATTCTTTTATATGCGACTTGAATGTAGATACGATTGTAAATTCAGGCCGTGTTATTGTTTCTGTTTTCTCGCCGATAAATGGATAAAGTCGAGTTGTATAAAGAGAGGCATGTCCGTTTCAATTACTTAACACCTATAAACAATTTGAAAAACGCTCATGATTACTCGTTCTGTTTATCGGTTCCTCTCCAACGTATCGTGTTATGCCGAGATTGGCAATCAACTCGACTGTTTGGATATTGACGCTGCTCTTTTGCCTCGCCGTGACTAAAAATAAAACATATCCAGGTATCTGTCATCATAGTTCGTACAACTTTTTTATCTGTTGTTCTGAATGCTCCTGTGAATACACTTATATACTTGCAAAAGTGACAAATGTTATTGGAACAAATGATAAATAGCTTTTTAAGTGCCAAATTGATCGATTCCATTCTTTGTAAATTTCTAAATTTTAGAATCACATGATTATAAGTTCATGATTTTATCGACTTTCTTTATTCTCTACTTCATAAATTTAAGTTAAAATCGGCTTTAAGAGATTTTACTTCTGAGGAATTTAATGAAAAAGTCATACAACAACAATGATGGTTATAAACTCAATAAAATTGATGCTCAATCCTCTGTATTTTTTCCAGAAAAAAATGTTTACTTTGTAGATTTTCGAGAGGACAAAGTGGCACATAATTCCTCCGTAAGTTTTTGGAAGGGAAGACCACTTCGTGGAAATAAATCTCTCGAAATTGTCAGATCAGGATTTCCGAACGAGACTTTGCGATTTCGAGCAGCAGGATATGTAAATCTTGAAGGATATAAAAACGCCAGCTTAAATACAAGAACTTTGATGGATTTTAACGGTCCAGTTATAATAGAGAATTTTGATGATATGAACGATCAGAACCTCGTGAGTCATATTCGCGTCAAGAGAAATGAACCGATTGCTCATCGTCGACCGAGTTCCGTAAATTTGCTTCCCCGAAATTTCCAGCGCAGGACTGATGAGACAAGCATATTTAGCGACTCGACATTAAAAGGATCACGGTCGGAGTACGAGAACCAATCTGATACCATTGTGGATACCATGGTCCCGCAATCACGACACAAACGAGGAGTCCTGTCGGAAAACGGCCATCGTAGGAAACGCGTGAAGGGAAATATTGGACATTCCAAACATAACGTTGAGACGAAAAATAAAAATAAGAAGCACAATACTTTAAAGTCTCCCAATCAGCTTGTCACGAAAAAAACGAAAAATCCAAACTCGAGTATGTTCTCGTTAATCTTTCGTTTCGAATATATTGGAGATTATATTCATTTCACTAAAGCCCAGTTCCACAACTCATGGTTAACTTTTAACCGAGGTTTAGCTTAAAATAAGTTAAACCTCGGTTAAAAGTTAATCATGAGTTGTGAAACTGGGCCTAAATATGGTCATTTAAATCCTAACGTATGTTATAAAAGATGATATTTTTACAAATCAAATAAAACTCAGAATTAGATGGTGAGTATTAAGAAGAGAGACGTTGCTTACCTAGATTCTTTATTTTTAATCTGGAAAACAGATTTAAAATAAATTTAATTCTTAAGGTTCCTGAATAGTCATCACAATCACATTGAATCATAACGTCGGACGCAAGAAATAACACGTTAACTTTTATTACGTGTCATTTATAAATAAAAACAATTTAGATAAAATGATGAGATTGCTTTAAAACATTTGTAAAAATGGACAAAAACTATGCTTATCGCCCTCCCCCCCTCCTCGATAGTCAATATATATAAATAATCGACAGTCAGTAAATAATCGTAAAAAATGATAAAAGGCACATTAAGTGCTTTTATTCAATGCGCATGCGTAGCTTATTTTCACTTACACGTGTCTTTTATCACTTTTTACGATTATTTACTGACTGTCAAAGGGGATAAGCATAGTTTTCGTCCATTTTTATAAATGTTTTAAAGCAATCTCATCATTTCGTTTTATCCAAATTGTCGTTATTTATAAATGGCATGTAATAAAAATTAACGTAAATATAGTTAAAAATTATAACCTTTATAAAGAAAGTATTTAAAACCAAAGATGTACTTTCAATTTATAGAATGTGATAGACACGACATAGATAGCATGCAATATCGCGAATATATTACATACTATACAAAATAAATTTGAATTTTTAATTTCTCAAAACAAATTCTTTATTTATCTCATTTATTTATAGAAAAAAGACATAAAAATACTCAAAAAATCGGAATGCCTGCCAAAGCAATCGACGAGTCGCGGAAAATAGAAAAAAGAGAATCCGAAAGTAGCGATTTCAATAATATTGCTAGTGCTAACGAACAAACGGAAGCTTTAATTAATCGTAAAGAAGATGCGTCATTAATAAATAGAAGTTTGGTAGAACAGCGACAAGAAAACGCCATAATGTTACCTTTTGTGCATACTGGAAAAGCGGAATTGCACATTCGTATCGAAAAATTTCCTACGAACAAGTCATCGTTTATCAGTCCTAATAATTGGACGGATCATTCTATCGGGACTAGTTCTTGCTCGATTATGTTACCGAAATATAATACAAGTGATGAAATTCTCGATTCTGAAAATACATCGTTCTATAATGCGGAAGTCGAAATGGAAGCTTATCCGGTTGAATCCAACATGCCGAGAATCGAGAATCGAAATACAAAAAAAGAAAATGATTACATGAACGAGATGTCTGTAGGATTATCGGACAAGGACGCAAAGTTGCGAGCGAAGAGAAACCAGCAAGTTATGTCTAAGTATTTACGAAACGATAAGAACTCAAAGGAATCGACACGTTTCAAACACACCGAAGAAGGAATCGGGGACACGAAAAGTGAGAAGACAAGTTACAGAAGGACTCGAGATAATCGTGCTGTAAGATCGATCGAAGAAATTAAAGAGCTTGCCGAAAAGTTAATCGCCAAGGTAAGAAACTGTTGTTAGGAATCTTCCTTGCAGATTATATCCGAGTTTAGTGTAGAGATCCTTCATTTCCAGATAAACGAACTGCAAGTATATGTGAGCAATCGTAGTGAAACTCTATATAACTCTATAAAAGAAAGGGATTCTTGTAAAAATGCAGAACGTGCAATCAAGGAGGAATCGAAGATCACCGTGAAGAAGAAAGACATCTCAAGTTCTACGTCAAAGATTGCTGAGAACACTGATGACAATCGTCAGCGCTTTGCAAAGGAAGCGATTTTGGCAGGTAAAAGAATATCCCAAATGCGTTCTAACGGTTCGAGATTCGCGCGAGGAGAGCATCGAACGAGGAGATCGCGTCGCAAATGGGGCAGGTGGATGGACTGGAGCAGCTGTAGCGTCACCTGCGGCAAGGGTCGACAGATCAGGTGGCGGCATTGCCTGCACGACTGTAATGATGCGGAAACCGAGATGGAAGAGAAAGCATGCCAATTGCCGGCCTGTCCCCCAAGTAAGTTCCTCGGAATATTTTGAAAGATTCCTCCTTCGACAGATGATGATCGGCAATCGATGTTTTGCAGCATATCAGCGATGTTGTCAATACCACAATTATTAAAGAAATATTGTGTAAAACAGCAATGTGATTTGACATGATACTATAATCTTTCGGTTGCTTTAAAAATGTATAGAATTATTTATTCATCTAACTGCGCTTTATGAAAAAGGATCTCGAATGGCTTCTCAATAAGGAACGTTCGCGAAGTATAAAATTCTTTGAAATTCATTTTATTCTGTTCTTTTTTTCTGTATAACAGTTTCCGTACAAAGATTTTTATCACTTCGGATCACGCGCTTGTTTTACATTACATAGGAACTTTCAAAGTTAAAAATGCAATTAACAATCAATGACGATTTATCCCGAGAAGATTGTTTGAACGATGGAATTCTTGAAATTCGCAAGTTACAAACGTTATCGCCATACAAAACAAAATTGTTTTACAGCCTCGTGAACCTTCCTTCCTTATTAATTATCCATGTACAACACAGTTTGTATTTTGTATAATTGCATAACAAATCGTTTGATGTATATTTCTCATCGTCTCATTATCAAATACATAATATATTATACAGCATTTTAAACAATATCTCCTCCTTCGCCTTCAGTATTCACAAATAACGAGGGCGTTTATTGATTAAAGAGTAAGTTCGTAGCAGCTCAATCATCGTATTCTCAATGTCACCAAGTCACATTGATTCACACAAGATACGATTGTCCGCCCCTTGCTAATAATCGTGTTACAAAATAGACTTGTTCTTTTTAGCTGAACTTTTGCACTAGTTGCTTTCTTCCTTTTTTCTTCAGAAGGAAAGAAGAAGAAAGATGAACTGGTGCAAAAGTTCAGCCAAAAAGAACAGACCTAATGTTAACGAGCGTATACTTTCCGTGCAAGTAGATACGAATCTATACAATGCTTTCTGTTTTCTTTTCCCAATCAAATGGCGCAGGACTTTGCTCTATCAGCAATCCGTACATTTTTGTGTATGTTATAAAATCTGATATCGTACAATATTTATAAAGTTTTCTACAATACATTTTTTCTTACGTTCGTTTTCTGTGATGTTCTGATTAAAAAAATATTAATAAAATTCAGTCGACCGTTTAACATTTTTATCCTATCAATTTAGGCGTAACGTAAGAATCGAAGTGTATTGTATGAGCAACGTATAATTCATCTAAATATTATTAAGTTAGATGACATACTTCCTATAAGCAATTATTTGTCAAAGAATATTCAAAAGCAAATATGACATGTTTATGCGGCAAATTTTATCACAATTGGAATATTATTACGTCATCAGTATAAGTTTTCAATCATCAATTTATTTTTAATTTTTTTTTCTGGACACTTAATGGACAAGATATCCACCAAAATTGCTTTTAAATGCAAGATAAAATGGACATTTGATAATTAAAAATAGTTGTTGATAAAGATTAAGATTTCTAGTGTGCAGATATAATTAGTATCTATTTTTCTTTCATCGAATATATTTTTAGATATGTCAATTATCAGACATGTTTATTGATAAACAATCTGCAAAATATTCTCATGCATGACACATTCGTAAATGCTAATTTAAATAAAATGCGCCTTATTTAATTTACATTTTGATGTTAATGCTGCGTCTCACTCTTGACTAAGTGTACAATAAAAAAATGCTAGAAAATAACGATACAAGATATAGTACCGAAAGTTGTATAATCGAACATTCGTGAAATGAATTAAGCGAATGAGACAGACAATGCTAATGTAACGCCTTCAATTATTTAATATTTGACTTATTCAGGAGAACACATAGCGTTACATATACAAATTTATCACATTGATAAAACGCATTTATTCTTCGCGCGCATGTATTCACGCATACATATAAATGTTCTTAACTATGCATCGTTACGTAATCAGTATCAATAGTCACATATCGTGCACATTGGCATTCACAATTTTGTCCTAGATTAAAAAGACGCAAATCAGTCAACAATGCAAATTGTAATCTTACCTATCATTCGACTACTTAAATTGTGAATGCTATAGTTGATAACTTTGAGTGTTGTTTTAACATTGTTGACCTATCTGCACTTGTAATTATCCGGATAGATTTGATATATGTACGTCAGATTGCAGTCAAAGTTTGATGTTCACAGCTAGTTGCACACTTTTAGCTTATCATTTAACAAGAAATCACTTGTGTGGAAGAAGAACCAAGGCGCATATTGTGATATTGTATATATATATATATATATATATATATATGAGGTTCATTTCCCTCTTATATATATAAAACACACAGTGACTTCACTCGGTCGTGATCCATGAGATCAGAATACATCACTATTAAAATAGTATATTTCTTGCTTGTTCGACTTGGTTATTTTCATCAGAGGAACAATAAGCTAGTATGTCTATTTGTTGCTCTTCACCTCCGGCTAACACTCTTACATCTCGGTCCACATCAACACGCATTTTCGTAAGTATTCTTTCCACTTCTTCCATCATGTCTGTGCCCAAATTATCTACTAAAGATAAAAATATACGAAATGAGATACAATATACCAAATCAGCGCGGTATATTATGATAATAATATAGTACTTTAATAATACTTACCGCCCATCGCAATCACATCCGTTGCTATAGTTCTCGCAACGGCTAATCTTACATTAGGTACTCTATCACACGATAAACTTATCAAACATGGTAACATTTCCTTAGAAAACTTCTCTTCCGGGATCGCGTTGTTGCGAATCAGGTGGGCACATACAAGCGCATAAGTTTGCCGGTGTATCCACTTTTTAGCGTCTAGAACTAGAGTCTCTCGAAGTTCGTGAATAAGAGACATTACCAGAGCATCCTCGTTGGACAAGTAACACATTATTCGTGTGATCTGAAGGAATTTGAATTCAAGTTTGTAGGTAAAATAATTATGAACTACGATATATATGATAGGTGCAATTATCTTACCAGTTCAAGTGCGATGGTTCTAACAGCAGCAACCTTATCTACAAGCAGTTGGAAAGACAGCGGCGCGATACTCTGGGCCACATCGCTCGGACTGAACAGACTTACAATCTCGAGCAATTGTATGGCCAATTCCTCCCTAAACCTCCAGTTCCATTCGTTATCTGTAGCAAGGAAATCGCTCAGTCTTGATAGATATTGACAGCGATCGACGGGTTTGAGTATTTTCAGAAAAGTTGCAAAGTGCTTGAGTACACCTATTCTGACCTCGTCGAGATCTTTAATAAAACCGTCGTAAATTGGAACGAGGTCAGTAGCAGTGAGTTCTTCGCCTAAAATCATGGCAATCTCATGAATGCTGGATGCTAGAGTACGCCTAACTCTCCAATGTTTCGCGCTCGACAACGATTGATAAGCCTTCTTCAAGTAATGCCAGTTCTCTTTGCCCAGCGTGAGCGCGACTGCAGGAAAACTAAAGGCACAATAATGTGGGATATCGGCACTCATGAACACGCATTGACTCGGATTGGCCATTGATACATAATAATTGATTAATTCTTGAGGTACAATCTCTTGTTTATTATGCTTCGCATTTAAATTCTTACAAGATTCGTCACTCTTGCTCATAGAATCTTCGTCATATATATAAAATTTTCTCTCTAGCTTACCCTCCTCGAATTTTTCTCGTAAAGTTTTCAAACAATCTCTTCGAAATCGAGATGACTCTATCGAGAAATCACGATCGAAATGCATTGGCTTTGGAGAGATACACTCGTCATTTTGCTTTTCCTTTTGTTTATCGTCGTCTTGCTTTTCCTTTTGTTTATCGTCGTCTTGCTTTTCCTTTTGTTTATCGTCGTCTTGCTTTTCCTTTTGTTTATCGAAGAATTTGATCATTTCGAGGACCTTTACATTTGAATCATCGTTTGATTGCTCGTTTATATTTGAATCATCACTATTCGTATTTACGCGAGGAACTGATTTCTCGAAAACTTTATTTTTAGAAAAAAATTTGATTTTATAGACGTTTACATTTGAATCATCGTTTAATTGCTCGTTCATATTTGAATTATCATTATTTAAATTCACGACAGGAACTGGACTTTCGGAAGAGCAAGACGAACTATTTTCTTCGATGAAATTTTGTTCAATTTCTGCCGTTTTCGGGACATTATTACGATTCATCGCCGATTGTCTTGCGGCATGAGTAAGTTCATCATCCAGTGGTACATCCGGAGGTATATAATAATATAAAAATGGATTATATTTTTCCGCATCACGCGTTTCTTTTTTTATTTTACATTGGTACCATTCTTCACGCCAAGACTGAAAATAAAAAATAATAGAAATATAATTTTATATTTAAGTAATTTTAAGTGGCACATATACATAATGAATTCATAACAAGCTTAAAAGAATTTTGATATGAAATTTTTTTTATATGAAATTATAACAAAACAAATTTATTTTTAAATAACGTTTATGTTTGAAAGGTGAATTCCTGTCATGATTTCTAGAACTATAAAGAAATTTAAAATAAAAAATACAACTTCTATTGCAGTCTTCATAAAAAAATTTAATCAGGGTTACCACAGAAAATGAATTTTAAAATTTCCTGACTTTTCCAGATTTTCTAGATGAAAATGGAAAATTTTTCATGACTAATATAAAATATGTAAATTTTAACATTTAGACTCAAAGATTGTAGGAAAGCTATATTATTAAAAACGCAAAAAAAACTTAATAGCATAGTAAAATTTTGGGTGTAAATTCAAGCCAGCAAAAAATAAATTAGTTTTGAAGAAAAGAATGCAGTTACGAAAAAGAGGGATCAAATAAAAATACTGAATAAAATATAAATTTTAATTATTTTGTTAAAATCATTTAAAGTGCGCAAGTTTTGAACCATAAACGTCACATATAATATCTAAAAAATTATAACAATTATTTGGAATAGGAGTAGTTTAAGGACATTTTCCCCTGACTTTTCCCGGTTTCCATGATCAATTTCCCTGACTTTTCCCGCTTTTCCCGGTTTGTAACAACTCTGCCAATGTTATGATATATCGTTTTATTTATACATACTTTTGGGAAGTCAAGTTCTGTTTTTTGGTAATCATCTTCTTTTACGGAATCATCTTCTTCCGATACTTTAATGTCTTCATGTCTCATCACAGGCAGATAAAATGGACTTTTAGTATTAAATCTGTATTTGGTATTTGCTATCATATCTTCGTCCATATCTGGTATTTGATTTTTGATCGCGGGAAGCGATCTCTTCATAGGAAAGATTCCTTCATACGAGTAACATATACTGCACAAACATGCATTCAAGTTAAATTAACATGAATTTAAATTGTAATGGCAACAGAAAAGTATACTGTTGTACCTGGGATGATTATCCTGCTTACTGATATACACTAATTCACCATTCTTATTATAAGTGACTTCGGCGAACTGCTTGGCGAAAGTTGATATGAACGGTCCAAGCATCTGAAAAGCCGATATTCGTACCCATTTGGAGTCATCGATCAAGTGCTTAGCCAATATATCCGCAAGTAATAATCGCCGATGTTCGGCTGTCAAACAGCAAGAAACTGGCATCATGACCTCGACACACGCTTTTCGCACGTTCCATATTCTGTCGCCGCACAAATCAATAAACATAGGAATCTAGAAACAATTCGAATACTTTAGTAAACGGTACCACTTTCATTTATAGATCAAAATATGCCCATGAACTCTTTAGCCTTCCATTTTTATATCTACGAATAAGACTTACCAATTTGCTGTACAGTTTCTCCTTTCCCACAGCAATGCACATTTCCCCAAAGTGAGTAGCGCAGATTCTCCTCACCATCATATCGTTATCCTCGCATAGGTCTAAGTATCGTGGCAGAAAGATCTTTTCTGTAAGTTCGCTACCAATCAGCGGTGCCAATCTACACATGAGCTGCGAATCAATATAAAATATGGAACGTTGGGAAAAAGTGAATAATCATTACGAGAAATTTGACATTAAATAGATATGCGCTATCGCGTATCTATTTAACGTTAAATGTAGACTTATAAACTTATGTTTTAATTTTAGAGAGAGAGAGAGAGAGAGCCGCTTCTCAAAATCATTTCTGACTATGCAAATTGAAGTTTTCTTAAATAGTTAAACAAGTATATGTAAAGGTGCGCTCTTAAATCAACAATTTTATATATATATATATATATACATATACGCACACACAGAGTGAATGATAAAAACAATAATTTTACAGTATATTAAGTAATATTTATAAAATATTAAGAAATAGGTGAGATACATCGTTCCGTTCCGCTCATCAAAGCTGGCTGTGATATGAATCAATAGCACCACATCACAACCACTCTGATGGGAGGAACAATCGATTTTATTCAATCAGTCTTTCCTGAGAGATGAGCATTTAGTTAATAGATTAACGCTTATTGTACACAAGATATACGAACTACATATATTTATATTACATATATTTATATTACATTATAAAATGACATATTTCTTTATCACATAAAGATAAATACATTTATTCGAATTATTACAAATTGCATAATCGCATTTAATTGAATTACACGAAAAAAATATTTAACCAAATATATTTTCGTGAAAAATTAATCATTATCTTTTCCATTTTTTAAAACATACGTACGAATATTGTAATATAAATATGGAAATATATATACATAATATAAAATTATATTACTGTAAAAAATTTATTATATTTTTTTAAATAATTGTGTAGAAACGCATCTTTTTACAACATTAATAAGAATTTTATATTTATTCGCTATTTCTAACTCTTCTCCCTATTCCAGTCGATTATTCCAGACTTAGTTTCCTAAATGTTTAAATATAAATTAACATTCTTGGTAATTTCTTTCGCACATTCCGAACTTGTCGAATTATGAGTGTCGCAACGCTCATCAAAGCTGGCTGTGATATGAGCATCGTTACATCAGCATATTACAACCACTTTGTGAGCAACGCGAACACGCTTTCCTCTGTAGCCGAGAATATCTTCAAAGCATCGTACGATGATCCTTACATATATCTTTTTACGCTTCCGCACGACGTAAACGGAGGGCGATGCATAAAACGGCGATCCAAATCGTCAAAAATGGCTGTGATATGAAATTCAGAGAAGCAACACGCCACAACCAATTTGACGATTGGATCGCGTTCCTTCCTGTGTGACGCCATTCATCGTTTCGAATGACTCGGATAGCTTCGTGTGGTGACTTTCAAAATGGATCTCTTGTGAAATTTGACGATTGAAACGTGAATATAACGCAATGGTTATCTTCCGGTAGACCTTTCCTGTCATTCGTTTCACGCGTTTGTCTCCAGATGTGTCGCATGTGTTATCAATTCAACAGGTACATATATCGATGGCAAAAGTGGAATCTTCTCGACGATCAATTCTGCGAGCCAGCTCATCAAAATGGCTGTGATATGACTCGAAACATTCCACAACCAATTTGATGTATCGGACCGCAAAAGGTATATCCCCGTTCATGGTGTTGTAACGGCGTTTCTCCAACGTGTCGTCTCTTGCCTCTCCATTGTCTTTCTCAAGCCTCACGTATTTTTCCATTACTCTTCTTCTGTTCTATTATTTAATTTCCTCCTTTCTCTCGCCTTTGGTCTCTTAATCACTGGAGCGCGTTGAAAACGGACACAATTTTGATCATCAAAGCTGGCTGTGATAGTCGAACTCTATGACAAACCAACTTTGATGGTAAAAGTATGCCCTCTCTTCATCAGGATGCCAGTATTTGTATTTTTCACGAACGCTCTATGCTCTCTTCGCCTTCATCTTTCCTTTTTTCTTTTTGTTGTTTATGGAAATCTTCAAGCGATGATGGCTAAGTATTCCTTGCTCCTTTAATCTTGCTCTTAAAGCGCATTTACCTCATAAACGTATTAAACTCCTTTGCATTCCTTTTTCTTTCCTTTTCCCTATTTCTCCTCTCATTTTCCTTATCTTCTTATCGTTATAAATTTCTTGCTTCGATTTGACGTTTGGCTCGTTTTTTCGTTGGCGCGACAGATCGTGTAATTTTCATCATGTGATTCTCGTTTTTGTGCAACATCGCCGAAGCGAGCGAACGCCGCATGAAAGACAAGATAGTGAGACGCGATTGCGTAAGAACATCTCACTACCCATGTCTTTCAGGAGGAATCCGTAAATACTGAGAGCTGTATTTCTGATTTCGCATGCGAAAAAACGCGACCGCCGCGTATCTATCTCTAATCGCATGAATATAAGATTTCGAAGCCTTTTTTGCGCATCAACAACGAAAATTCGGTATAAAATAGACTATACAAAAGACAAATCTCAAAAAATTTAATTGTCTTAAATAATTATAGTTACATAAGAATATATATAAAAAATAATAGGACTCTTTTTTTTTAGAGAGATATCTATTTTATCTACATATTGTCTACTTATAAAGAGAAATAAATGATGAAAATGTTTGTTTCGTTCAATTTATTATACATAATTATTTTCTTGCAGAGAACTTAAGAACTTTTTACACTGTCTACCTCGCCTTCATAAATAACTTTCTTCAAATAGCAATGTAATTTCAAGAATGTATTGTGTACAGCCTCTTTTATGTAAATTCTTCTATTATTTTTATTTTACAAGAGGATAAGAATACGGGAGGATAGGAAGACGAATGAAGTACGAGAAACTTACGGAGATGTTCGCGTTTCGAGCATGTTCTTCGACCATATCGCGGGATCCTAAGTGCCATACGTAAGAAAGTTTTTCTATCGTAGGACAGATAACGTTCTCGATCGTGTCGTTGTCAAGAAGGCCTCGTTTCATCAACACTGTCAGCGCGCTTTGGGCCATTTGTCGTACCTATAGAAAAAAAAGAGTTTCAATATTTACATCATTCAATATATACACTGAAATACTTCGGTTTTTGCTTTGGGTATGTGTTCAAAACACGACACAGGCACGATTCACTTGCCTGATTATCCTGATCATTCAGGTACTTCATCACGATATCAAGTAGATAATTGCGGATAACATAGCCGAAGAGATGCGGTGCTTCGTGGCAGATAATCGCCACATTTGGAATTTGCTCTACTAGGTCCGACCGTACCAAAGCATCTGCAAACAGAAAATGTATATTTGTAAGACTTTTGAGAGCATAAAAGATCGTCTCTCTTGTCGCGTATTCATTTGCTAATTTTATTTCTAAGAATACAATCAGTTTCATAAAAAATCGGGACTTGAAATGTTAATGGAATTGAATTAACTAGATCGAACGGGAATATAAACTCGCTATATTTTCTTAATAATTTTATTTGAATGATTTTTCAAAAATGGGCAACATATTATGTCTAAAAAAATTTTTTCTCTAAAAATTTCTAAAAAGAACGTTATAAATAGGTTCTAGAGAAAAAAATTTCTTTTGTTCACGATCGATTTGGTTAATATAAACACAATATACGGCCGGTTCCACGCTATCTCGTGCGTGTTTTTAGGGTGCGTTTCGAGTTACGCATGAGGCGCATGATGCATAATTTTTTCTTGTTGTTCACCAAATAATAAAGAAAGATAAAACGATACGTTATGCACTTCATACGTAACTCGGAACGCACTCTTAGTGAGAGACACCATGCCGTGTCTCTTCCGATTTCTTTTTTGAATTAATATATCTTTGATAAAAATCCGATATCGCAAATATTTTCAAATCTCTCGAAGTTAAAGAGTCGGACAACGAGAATTAATAATTACACGCACAAATTTTATAAGAAACTCAACGGATACCGAGTTCGTTACATACTGCCCGAATGAAGATTAAATCGCTTTTTCTTCCAGATTTACCTAGGGGCCATATTGTCGCGCTTTACGTATTATCACTTCTTGCAAACTCGAGATCGACGCGGCGATATTAGCAAAAGAATCTCCAAAAGAAACGTTCTTGAAATTTAAACGTTTACTGAGGATTCGTGGCGAACGATACGAAAGCAATGGCTTCCCGATAAGTTACGAAGGAGGGGGATGCTAGAAGCGGGGGTGCAGAAGCTTACATTGGGCCTCATGATACGACTATAGGCTAAAAGACTAATCCGGTGGGGGAAAGAATTGGGGGTATATACGAATGAAACTCAGAGAAGGAACGAGAGAGAAGCGAAAGTGATGTGCGTGCCATCTTGCGGACCATCAACACACATCCTTGAACATCCTTGAACTCGTTTTTTCTCTCCTGTCTTTTTTGCTCCTCGCTCCGCTTTTCAAGAGAAAACCTTGTCCTTGTTCTCATCGGTTTCTTCTCATTTTTCTTTTCATTCTCGCGAGGTTTTCCGAAGGGTCGTTGACGATGCGCGCCATATTTTCGCTCTTTGAACGCTAGTAAGGCTATTAATCATCATCAGCGAAAACCTATTTTCCTTTCCCGCCTTTTCTGTCCAGTGCGCATTTTTGTCCGATTCCAAGCTATGTCAAAAATACCCCGCGGCGGTATGTCAAAGATTTAGAATCACCATGTTAGTAGTATTCCTCTACCCCATGCGAGATATGTGGGAAAAGATCTTTGTTAGACGTATATATTTGAGAGAATTTTTTTTCGGGGAATCTTTATTTCTTAATACGTTTTCTTACATGACTCGAGATTAATTAAACCGTAGAGATTATAATAGAAAATCAATGTTTTCATCATAATTTGGCAATAAATTTTGGTGACAGAAATATCAATAAGTTATTTTTTCATAATAACTAATTAGAGAATTCTTTTCAGCTAAGAATATAATCATATCTCTCATTGACAAGTAGTAATAATGTAAAAAATATCAAGCATTGAGATGAATGTGCCTTTCAGGCGGTCATATTAAAAATTTTGCTATCGAGATTTCGACAACGTATTCAACGTAATATTTGAAAGATATAAAATTCCTAACGTATGACAAATAAAAAATAATAGAAATCTTATTTGTTATAATTTGACGATAAATACATATATTCATGTATCCAATTACAAAAAGTCGATCGTGAATTTATTATCAATTCTCAAAAAAATTTCTGATTCTTATCCATTATCTATTTTTATCGTTTACGTTGTACGGTTTATTAAAAATAATAATTTATGATTAAAAAATTTATCGCTAATAATTGATAAATTTTTTCAGAAATAAAATATCAGTTTCCGTAATAATGGAGACTTACCTCGAAAGACATACTAAGCCATACGAAGATAAATATGTAGATTCTGTGATTAAAATAATTTCGTTGAAAGTACACTACGATGAAAATAATCTTAAATTTTAATAAATATTTGTTTAAATAGTTCTAAATAAATATTTACTGGAAACATATATTTATAAACATACTTGATACAAAAACTATTAACTTGATTAAACTATCATGTTTTTTATTAAATAAATATTTATTTAATAGAGGAAAGTCGCCAATACTGATATAAGTCTCCTAAAGTGACACCCCCTTATTTCTCAGAAACTAACTATTGCACTTTATTAATACTAATAAAATCATGATCTGTTTAGCTAATTAAAGAAGTACAAACTCATAATTCATATATTTATGGCTTATTTCTATACGAAATCAGCTAAAAACCAATTCTATGAATCCGAGAAGAAAATTCTTACGGTGTTCTTTTGCAAATTGCGTAATTAAAATAATAGTGACTGTATTATTGATAATATTATGTCATTTTAATGTTTATATAGTTTATATAGTTTCATAAACTAATTTTCTTTACAGAATAGGATATATCTTTATTTATAGAATAGGAATGTTGGTATTATATTGCCTACTATGTCAGTTTTGGAACCATTTTGTCAGACGCTCATTTTTGCATAACTTACGAAAAACTTAATTATTGCAAAATTGCAAACAGTATTATAAAAATTGCTTATACTATCTGATAGAAGATACTTTTTACTTTGTATTTATGTTTTTGAAGTTGTATTTTTACCTTTTGTTTAAGAAATATTGTCTAAAAACAAAGTGGTATGTCGGTATCGGTGATCTTCCTCTAAATGTTTACTTAGTACTATTCAAAGGTAAGATTTAATCAACTTTTTTCAGTGTAGTTTATAAATTAGAGAACAGAAATGCATTTTCTTATTTCGTCGCACCCCCATTCACAAATATCTATGTATAAAGGTTAAGACGCGTCTTCGCGCGCTCGTAGCTAGGCTGGAGAACACGCCGAGATTTTGTACTAGCTTCG